GATGATTTGATGGACCAACTAAGAGGAGCAGTAGTGTTCTCAAAGATTGACTTGAGGTCGGGGTACCATCAAATCTAAGTGAAGGATGCAGATGTACCTAAGATGGCGTTCAGGACGCGGTATGGTCACTATGAGTATTTGGTGATGCCGTTTGGGGTGACTAATGCGCCTGCGGTGTTCATGGACTACATGAACAGGATCTTTCACGAGTTTTTGGATAAGTTTGTGGTGGTGTTCATCGACGACATCCTAGTTTATTCAAAGACTCAAGAAGAACACGCCGAGCACTTGAGGATTGTTCTACAAATTCTGAGAGAGAGATAACTTTATGAAAATTTTTCTAAGTGTAAATTCTGGCTAACAAAGATCCAATTTTTGGGGCATGTGGTGTTGAAGGAAGGAATCATGGTAGACCCTGCAAAGGTGGAAGCAGTGACTGAGTGGCCGAGGCCGACGAATGTGATAGAGGTGCGCAGTTTCCTTGGATTGGCGGGCTATTATAGGAAATTCATTGAAGGATTTTCTAAGATAGCGTTGCCCTTAACGAAGCTGACCTGCAAGGGAAAGGAGTTCAAGTGGACCACAGGTGTGAAGCTAGTTTCTTGGACCTGAAGATAAAGCTGACTTCGGTGCCAGTGTTAGCTCTACCCGACCTAGAGCAAAAATTTGATGTGTATTGTGATGCATCCGGGCAAGGACTTGGCTGTGTCATGATGCAAGATGGGCGAGTAGTTGCTTATGTCTCAAGACAGTTATGTCCGCATGAAGTCAACTATCCAACTCACGATCTGGAGTTAGCTGCGGTGGTTTTGCTCTTAAGGTATGGAGGCACTACCTGTATGGGGCGAGGTTTGAGGTGTTTAGTGATCATAAGAGCTTGAAGTATCTATTTGATCAAAAGGAGCTGAATATGCGACAGAGAAGGTGGATGGAATTCCTCAAGGACTATGACTTCACATTGTCTTACCACCCTGGTAAGGCAAATGTGGTAGCCGATGTGTTGAGCCAAAAATCATTGCACGTGGCAGCAATGATAGTGAAAGAAATGGAGTTAATTGAGGAATTTTGGGACATGAATTTGGCCATGGAGGTGAGGCCTGGGAGTTTATATCTTGGAACAACGATGATTCACAACAACTTCCTGGTGTACGTCTGAGGTGCACAGCAAGGAGATGCCTTCCTGCAAGACATGATGAGACAGAAAGGTGAGGGGAAGGACTTGGAGTTCCACCGTGATAAAAACAGGGTGATTAAGTTCCAGGATCGAGTGTGCATTCCTCAAGTGGATGAGCTGAGGTAGATGGTGCTAAAGGAAGCGCATAAGAGTTGGATGAGTTTTCACCCCGGTGCAACTAAAATGTATCAAAACCTCTGGAAGAGTTTTTGGTGGAATGAAATGAAGAGGGATGTGGCTGAATATGTGGCTAGATGCCTATCTTGCTAGAAGGCGAAGGTAGAACACCAGCGTCCACGTGGGTTGTTACAGCCGTTGGAGATCCCTGAGTGGAAATGGGATAATATCTCCATGGATTTTGTTTTCGGGTTGCCTAAGACCAGAAACAACGATGATACCATCTGGGTGATAGTGAATCGATTCACCAAGGCTGCACACTTTCTCCCAATGAACATGAAGTATAAGTTGGAAAGACTTGCAGAGTTATATGTAGGGAGATAGTTAGGCTGCATGGAGTGCCGACTAGTGTGGTGTCAGATAGAGATCCAAGGTTTACCTTGAGGTTTTGGGAGAGCCTGCAACGGGCGTTGGGGACTAAGTTGAGACTGAGCTCAGCTTATCACCCATAAACTGACGATCAGACTGAACGGACCATCCAGTCCCTGGAGGACTTACTGAGGGCTTGTGTGCTTGAGTAGCAGGGAACTTGGGAAGAGTGCTTGCCGCTAGTGGAATTCACGTACAACAATAGTTACCATGCTAGTATTGGAATGGCACTGTTTGAGGCCTTGTATGGGCGGAGGTGCAGAACTCTGTTATGTTGGTATGAAACCGGAGAGGCGACTCTGTGTGCGCCGAATATGATCCAAAGACAGAATGAGCAAATCAAAATGATCAGAGATAAAATGAAGGCTGCACAAGACAAGCAAAAGAGCTACTATGATAGAAGGTGAAAACTGTTGGAGTTCCAAGTGGGGGACCATGTGTTTCTGAAGGTCTCACCTGTAACTGGAGTGGGGAGAGCTCTGAAGTCTCAGAAACTATCTCCTAAGTTTATTGGGCCGTTCAAAGTGCTGAGTAGAATTGGTCCTGCTGCATGCTAGATTGCGTTGCCTCTGAACTTCTCGAATCTACATCCGGTGTTCCATGTGTCACAGCTTAGGCAATATGTGCTAGATCCTTCCCATGTGATTGATCTTGACCCGGTTCAAGTAAGAGAAGACTTGTCGTATGATGTGTGCCCGGTGAGGATTGTGGATCATCGTGTTAAATAGCTGAGGGGTAAAGAGATATCACTGGTGAAGGTAATATGGAGCTCGAGTGATGAGGGAGATGCCACATGGGAAACGGAGAGTAGAATGAGAAAGTTATACCCGGAGCTGTTTGGGTAATTTATGTGCGGGGTTTGGTTGAATTTTAGAAACGAAATTCATTCAAGGAGGGGAGATATATATGTGTGTATAAGCATAAATGGATGTCAAAAATTGCATTGGATGCGTAATGATGGTGTTTTGTGTGTAATGAGTATAAATATATGTATGTTGTGGATGTGTGTATATATATATGTTTGTATGCATGACTGGATAGGGCTGAAATGGGCTAAGTGCCTAAGTGCAAGCGTGGTACTAGGATGTTCTCGCTGTAGCGAGAGGGCCTTGGGAGGAAGGACCAAAATTGTCGCCTTCTCGCTGCAGCGAGAGACGTCTCGCTGTAGCGAGGGAGCGACAGTCTGGAGTGCATTTCTGGGTGCAGTCTCACTGTAGCGAGATTCTACAGAAATCAGATTGCAGCTTTCTCTGGTTTTTTTGCTGTAGCGAGAGAGAATGTCGCTGCAGCGAGGGGACCTCGTTGTAGCGAGAATATCTCGCTGTAGCGAGAGTGTCATGATCGGAAAAGGATTTAAAGCGGGTTAGGGTTCGGGGAGAGTTATTTCTCCCTCTCCCTTCGATCCTCTCATGCCTAAAGCCCTATTCCACCGATTAATTGCCTCCAAAGCTGTTCAGGAGCTTAATTAAAGGTTAAATATGTGTGGGGAACGCTTGGAGGTGAGTTTTAATGGTTAGGGTTTCGGTTCTCATCCCCTTTTCTCTGTTTCTGGGTTTCCTTGGGTTCTCATGGAGTTCTTCCATGTGTTTTAGGCTGCAATATGTGTAGAGAGCACGTCTGTGATTAAATCTGTGTGTGGGTCTTCAATCCAAGGTAAGGGAGGACTCTACCCTATCTTAATGTGTTATAATTCTTGTGTGTTTTGTTGATTTATGCAATGTGGCTAAGATAGGAAGTAGAGATTGTGTGTTGCATGAAATTGATGTGCAATGTGATGTGTGTTGGAATAATTAGACCCCGTGGGATGAGTGTGTGTGATGGAATGTCATTGATTAGTGAATAAATGATATGGTGAATAAATGTGGGCCCGAGGGTCGTGTAATATAGATGAATATTGGCCATGTGCCGTGTGATGTGAAATGACTGTGGCCTTAGTGCCGTGTATTTGAATGCGATGTGGGCTGTGTGTCGTGTGTAAGTATGAATATTGCGTGTGTAAATGAAATGTATGTGAATGGGGCGTGTGGTGCCGTTGTAATGTACTGTGAATGGTTCAGCGATACACTGAGGTGTGCAAGATGAGGACGGTAGAAATACCTTGTGGAACGGGTGCACCACGGGCCATACACTCTCTTCCTAACTAGACTTCTGACCACTACCTTTGCTGAGTGACCTGTGACTGCCCACGTAGTATCCGTGAGGTGGGGGTAACCAGCGACCATACATGGTGTAAATCTGTGATCACAGTGTTGTAGTGAATGTGGCTGGCGTACATATGCATGTGTTTATGAATTGTACTTATGGATGTGAAATGCTACTTGTGAATGTAATTGTTTAATGTATTAGAAAAGTACTATAGGTGAGACTCTATGTTGATTGTGTGTCTTTGGGTAGTGTAGAGTACTTACCCTTACATTCATTTTTCAGGTAATCAAAACGATAAGCATCAAACTTAGTGAAGGGACGGATGAACTGCTATTGGACTCAGATTTTATTTTGAAAATGTTGTAATTGAATTAGTCCTGTAGCAGTTATTTGATATTAATTTGTAATCCTTCACTTATTTCAAAATCTTTTATGAAGATTTGGCTATTCGATTTGCGAAATTATTATTTAATTGAAATTAAAATTAAGGTGTTACATTATTCATCCTCTCAGACAAAGGTTGTGAAAAATTTTGTCTTCTTAGAGGTTCAGAAGAAGATGTTCCTTGAAAGTATAATTATGGAGGCTAAAAATGGCCATTGGACAATGGTGTTGATGCAATATTACTCTTTGATGTAGGACTTTATTGATTCCACTGGTGATTTGGTTGAGTCCTATTGACTTGATATTGAAAATCAAAATGAAATAGAGGTTGAGATCTTTGAAAATTCTCCATGTAATTAATCTGCTCTTGAGGTTCTAATATAAATACATCACATGCTCCATGCATATGATTTCCACCACAAAAATCACATACCAAAGAGTTTATTTGTGCAACTCCAGCTTGAAAACTACTAACTCGTTGAGGTAAGGCTACAAGTTGTTCAGAGAGAAATTTATTTTGCATATGGTTTTGAGTAATTAAAGTTTCAAGTGTCTTTGCTTCAAATGGTCCCTTACTTGCAACATGTCTTTCATTGAAATTTTGATACATGTTGGTTGCCATCATCTCTATTATTTGTTTAGCCTCCTCCAATGATTTAGTGTTTAATGATCCTCCAACTGTTGCATCCATCATTGTTCTAGTGGTAACATCCATTCCATTGTGAAGGTTTCAAGTTGTATCCATTCTGAAATACAATGGTGAGGACACCTTTGCAACAGCTCCTTGTATCTTGCTCAAGCTTCATATAAAGACTCACCATCTTGTTGCACAAAGGAAGTGATTTCTCCTCTCAACTTGGCAACCTTTGTGGAAGGAAAGTACTTGATCAAAAAATTGTTAACCAGATCTGTCCATGTTGTTATACTTCCTTGTGGTTGAGCTTGAAGCCACCATTTTGCCTTGTCCCTTAGAGAGAAAGGAAATAGTCTCAAATGGATAGTGTCTTCACTTACTCCATTAATTTTGATAGTGTCATACAGCTGTAGAAAATTAGAGATGTGCACATTGGGATCATCAGAGATGCTTCCTAAAAATTGATCTTGATGTACCAAATACAACAAGGTAGGTTTGACCTCAAAGTCGTTAGCTTGCATTGTTGGTCTAACAATACATGAGTTGTGGCCTTGCATGTTTGGAACAACATAGTCTCCTAGAGTTCTCCTTCTATTATGCTCAGGCATCAAATTATCATATGATGTTTGTTGTGGTGGAGGTGTAGTTTGATATTCAGTAAACTTTTCTGGAGAAGGTGTTAATTCCATTTCTTGATCTCTTCTTTGAGAAATTTCTGCTTTAGCTTCACTTCTTAATTTCTTTAGAGTTTTGTCTGTGTCAGGATCAAACAATAGAGCAACTTTGTTTTTGTTTTTTTCCTTACGTACAAAAATAAAAGTAAACAAAGTTGAAAGCAAATCAGTAATCAAGCAAAAAAAAAAAATAAATTGAAATGATGCAGAAAAATACAAAATAGAACAGGCAGAAAAATGCGAAAAATTGTACAGACAAATTATAATACAGAAAACATAAAATAAGAGCTCAACTCTCTACTACTAATGATATTGAAAGTAAACAATCCCCAACAACGACAACAAAAACTTACCACACTCTTAGAGTACTACTAGCAAGTATACTAGGTAATTATAGCGAGTTATAAAATTCAAAATTCTTTGAGTTTTGCGTATTGTTCTCAGGAATTGGTCATTCAATTACCACTTCACAAGATTAATAACTATTTGTGCCAAATGAAATTTGGAGAAATTTTAAATCAATAAAGAACAAAAGTAGAAAGTGTAATAAAATACAAAAGTTCAGCAAAATAGAGCTACAAATTTTAGTAATGAAATGACATGCTAATGAAGTTAGGGATTACTTCACCAAATTATCAATTATACCCTTGAATTTGTTTTGAAATCCTAAGTATTTTGATTAATTGATAATCGATTTCACTTGTTAATCAAGGTATGCAGTAACACGAACATGGGTTCTTCTAATAAGACTTTGTAGTTATCACTTTTGGTGCTAAAAGTGATCATGTTCATCATGTTTCTCATCAAACAACCTTCAAGTAGCCAATTTTGATGCCCAGAGTTGCCACGCGCCTAGCATACCTTGATGCTTCATACTTTTGGAGTTGTCACTTTTTGTGCTTAGAGTGATCACTTTCATCCAAATTGCCCTTTGAATGTCTTTAAATCAAGAATCTTGGCTCAAAATTTCCTGCAAATTTGTTTCAATAAAAAAAGTTACATAAGAAATCTCTTAAATCTAAACAATTTGAACTATTTTAGCAAAATTAAACTTATTTGAACAATTATCATTTTTATGGGATTTTAATCTTCCTAACTCTAATTTTTTTTATTAAAAAGCTACTAGAAAACAAACTAAAATTTTCATAAAATATGGATTTATGGATTTATCAACACTAGTTAAATAACATAAATTGGACACAAAAAATATAAAGTTTTTACTTACATTTTCATGGTTCTATTAATATTTTTTCCTATGCCATTAATGAACACAAATTCTTACAAGATACATCAATAATTTTATCTTACTTCATTACCTGTTTTCTTCTTCATTAACCTATTGGTACATGATATTGACGATCATTTGCATATTTTTCATTTACAAGCTCAATAAAGATTGATGATGAATTTTACATGTTGATGACCATTAACAACACAACAATGAACATTAATACCATTACGATGAATTTTACATGTTGATGAATCTTAAATAAATATTGATGAACATTGAGGAAAAATATTGACAATGAACATTAATACTATTGCTTACTATTAATAAATAAAAACACTTTTAAGATCAATTATTCATAACTGATATAGAAAGTTAGGACTTTTTATATCAGATTAACAACTGATGTTAAATGTCATTTTTAACATATGTTAAAACTTTTTTTTTTTTTTTGTATTACTGTGTCCATTGAATTGAATTAACACAATGACATGAGGCAAAACTACATGTAAAAATTTCTTTAAGTTAATTGATTTCATACGAGACTCTCATAAACATGCATTGTACCCTTAAACTTGTGATGTGTTTATGCTAAAATGCTCTCATAAATGTTTAAGGCCTTTATGTAAACCTTGAGATGCTTCCGAGTGCTTTGAAAGAATATTGCCCAAATCTTTCATAGAAAATGACCTATACCTTCAAACTCACATAAAGAGATATATGAAGTGCATCTATTTAGAACTACTCAAATAATAGAGTTATGTATCTATCAAAAACTTATTTCTCAACCCCACATCAAACACTACCCTATACAATCCAATAGTTAATTTTTCTCTCTAAGGTTTTGATTCAAACATCAATGCATACATGAGTATATAGCTGCTGAAAAATATAGAACGAACATTTCAATTATACTTCAAACCATTGTCTTGAAAATTATTTATTTTTTGGTAAAACCTGAAGTGTAATTTGATAATCAGTTTTGCTCTTCAAGATTTACTCCCTACATGCTCAAACTTGTGCACTCAGTCAAACATGGTGGAGTCTCGTAACTAGTGCTTAGAAGGACAACAACAGAAAAAAAAATGGTGCCACTAAAAAAAATCAAAGATTAGTGGTAGTTTTTTCTTATGTTTATTGGCAGGTTAATCCACCTCTAAATTATTTTTGGCGGTTGATAAAAATATCATTAAAATTCAATGACACTACAACAATATTCTAGCAATTCTTACTAATCGCCGACAAATCTGACGCAACTTTTGTAGCGATTCCAACTGCCAACAATTGGTTAGAAAATAAATCTTTAAAATATTCCTCACTTGGTTGAAGATTTCAAATCTTGATAATTGTCTTGGTGGATCCCTATTCTCAACATTTCCATCAAAGCGAATTTGATTCAATCGAAACTTGTGTCCCCTAGACGAAAACAACAATGACCCGTAAAATAATACTTTGTACTAAACGGTAGATAAGGAGAAGTTGAGTCAAAACAGTATAAGTGTTCCATCCAAATAGTAATCACAGTCCAGAAAAGTTACTAAGTAGAAAGAAAAGCATCATGAACACTTATTTTTTTAAAGCATTTTATGTCTCAACACTTAGTTTTTCCACCTCTTAAAGTTAGGTGAATTATTTTTATTGGCGCAGATATTTGACTCCTATTTTTGTTACTGTAATTAACTTAAAAGTATTTTTTAATAGAGGTGTGAATATCTAATTTTATCTAAATTCAATCTAAATAAAATTTTTAAAATAATAATAATAATAATAAATATATAAATAAAATAAAATAAAATTAGGATTTAAAATTTTAGATCTATAAAAGGTTATGATTGTTTAAATTTAAATTTTAAATAGGCAGATATTTTGGTTAGTGGAAAAAAAATTATTGGAGGGTAAATTTTTAGAAAAAGTAGATTAGACAGATGAAAACAAATGGATGGGTGGTCATTGGAAGTTGGAGTCTTTTTTCTAAATTAAAAAAAATAAAAATGTATATTGCATGAGATTTAGGATTTCAAAAGTGCCTATAAATAGAAAGCTTAGGTCGTCAAATAAAGGAGACTTTTTTTGGAAGACGGTGAAACAAAAGGAGAGAGAATTGAAATCTTTTGGAGAAGACAAGAAACAAAAGAGAGGAGAAAAAAGAGAGAGAGAGAATTCAAGAGAGTTTGAGAAACAAAGAGAAAAGATAGAAGGGAGAGAGAAAAAAAAGAAGAAACATTTTTTAGAATACAGTGAAACAAAGAAGAGAGGAAAAAGTCAGAGAGAAACAAATACTTTGAAAGCACTAGAATCCTTAAAGTACATGATCTGTAGCCATTAATAGTTAGAGGTTGAAGAAGAGAGTTCTAATTAAAGAACCTTAAGCCACCATGAAAGAGTCGGCAAAACAAAAACAAAGGAGAATAAACTTCTCTTTGTTGAACAGTAAAGTTGTAACACCCTCATTTTTATTTCCTTTATTTTAGGCAAAAATAGGAGTTTTGGTGCAAGAAGTCTCGCTCAAGCGAAATGTGTCTCACTCAAGCGAGATAGATATTTTCTGGACTGGGCGTTCTAGAGCATTCTCGCTCAAGCGAGGTAAGTCTCGCTTAAGCGAGAAAGGATAGAGTTGCTTAATTGTCCTCTCGCTTAGGCGAGAAGGTAGCTCGCTCAAGCAAGGTGTCGCAAAAAAATATGTAACTCTCTGGACTCGTCCTCGCTCAGGTGAGGATATCCGAAAAACTCAAGCGAGGAAGATCTCACTTAAGCAAGGATGTGCTCGCTCATTTCTTGGCCTCACGCTCATTTCTTGACTGAATTCCTAACCATACCTTTGTTTAGAAGGCTGTGAATGCACATGTTGTATCCGTGTGTGGTTTAGCTCACCAACGACTTTCTATGTTGCATAAGTCCTTCATAACTAGAGAGAGTACGTTGGCAGCGATTTAGGGGCCTGAGAGTACCTAGAGTATCGTTGAATTGATGGAATAATCAAATTTGAAAGGGATAAATTCTCATGAAATTATGGATTAGATGATGATATTTGGCTAAGTGTAAAGTGATATGTTTTCATGTATTATTATTGTATGTTTAATTGAGAAATTAAGTCTGGAGGAAAATTGATGTGAATGGATTAATTATCTTTCACTAATAAAAGAAGTTATGTTACATGGGTATACTAAAAGATGTAGGAATGCATGTGCTTTAGATATAAATTGATAAATACTTTAGAATCAATACGATAAAGTTGAAATGAATCGAATAATTGAATTATCGAATTAAACAAGGAGGAATAGATATTAATTAATCAAATGATGAATGAATTTGTTAGAAATAG